TTTTGTTCGGCCCTTGTGTTGTTAAAGGAACGTATGATGTAATCTATACTTCTCACCCTGGTGTGAGTTTTCATGCATACCCTAAAACCACTAAGCTGCGGGATGTATATTCGACAAAACCGTTAAAGAGGAAGCAACACAATATTCATTGTCACATGTGTGGTGAGCACTTTTTCGAAAAAGATTATGGCTACTGTGTTGAGGCTAAAATATTTGGTGACTATGACATGGAACTTTCCTGAGATGTGCTCATAGTAATTAGTGACGTTTAGCCACACCAGGCCAGTAGATTTTTTCCAGCTGTATGCTGCACAAGGGTGGTAAAAACGATTTTGTCCTAATGCTGTTCTTTTGCATTGCACATTCAAACATCTCTCCTTCTGTTAGGAGCCGTGATGTGCTGAGCTGCTGTTACACTAATTGGATGCCTTTATGAAAGGTTGCATGAACTTGGTCATTAATGTTAAAGTGTCTTTTGCCATTGGCCATTTTGTGCCACTCTAAAAACTAGGGTGAGGTGTTGTTGCGAATCATGCGCGGCAGTTCACGCAGATTGAAATGTTATCTCTGGGCTGCGCACTTCCCACACAAAAGCAAGTGACAGTGAGGGAATTCTTCGGTTTCTATATTACTAGATGACTTTCACAGCAACTCACTTTCTACCAGAGCGTCTCCTCACGTTGGTTGTGAGACGCTCTGGTAGAAAGTGAGTGCCATCCGTATATGCTCCATTGAAAGTGCACGGCGCGGCAAATATCGCACGTTGCCTTGCTAAAAATGTTTGTTAGCAAACACTCTAGGTTGTTTTACAGCTAATACAAACACAACAAATGCTTGCAAAACAGAAAAACCACCGCCGAACAGCCTTAATCACTGGAGTTTTTGAACACTTCGCACAGTCAGTACCATGTGATGCCGTTTTATAAGTCACATAAAGGTTTAGGCAGATAGCACTACAATATGTCCTCCCCGCCAATATGTTCCGTGGAACCAGTCAATGCCCGGTAGATAGAAATCGCCTGGCTTTAATGTATGCAAAGGATGCCATGTGTTGATGCAGATCTTGAAGAAATTGTGCAGTGGAATCAGTGGCTCGGTAAACAGCAAATTATAGAAAAGATGTATGATGGCATAAAGTTTTCAATGAGGGTGCTTCAAGATTAGCTGCTTGACGTGAGAGAACTGGGGTGATATCTTTCCTCACCAAGACAGCAACACCACCACCCCTAGTGCGCCTGTCACGATGGAAAGCATGGTAACCAGAAAAAATGACGTCCATATCATCTATTTAAGTTGTCATGCAGCTGATTTTCTGTGGTGATGACCACGTCTGAGTTATGCCTAAGAATAACTACTTCAAGCCTATCAATTTTATTAAGAACACTTGGTGCATTAATATTCAAAATTCGGAAGTCACAAGGTGGAGGAAGTCTGCCCTTTTTGGAAGTGCTGGGACAGATATGAATTTTAGCCATGCTGTTTGTTGGACCACTCCATATAAGATAATCATTACTGACGCGAACTTTCTCATTTATCAAAGTGACCTTCTGGCCTTTTATTTTTACTTTCACATTGTCCCATAGCAATTAGTGTTTTCCGAGTCTTTCATGCAAGTAATGATTTTGAATGGAAAAAGCTTCTCCCTTTTAGCTTGTGGTCCTTTTTTTAGAACATCATGTTTTTCCTTGAAGTCTCGAAAAAAAAATTGAGATAACTGGTATTGATTTACCCGCTTTTCTCAGACGATGAATTCTTCCAATCAAACCACAATTTACACTTAATTTCTTAAAAAATTTATTGGTAACAACTTTTTGCTTAAGCTCAGTTTCAGCGACTTTCTCTTGAATGCCGAAGATCAACAATTTAGAACGCCAACTCCTGCCCTCTAAATATATAATTTTGGATTCTAGAAATCTTACGGTTCATTCAAGATCTACACGGGCGGCACGCTTTTCTAATTCAGTAACCGACGGTCCCAATCAACGAAAATCTCTTCTATGTTGGTTTGCTCCGTTCTAAGAGCCACCATATTCTCAACCAATGCGGTTTGTCCTACTTGTAGTTTTTGCAGCATTTTTTCTCAGTGGAGACCTGGATTTGTCTCAAGATCACTGCACAGCAGAAGCTAGCACGCACAGTACATTTCATAAGGTTCATGATGAAACAAGCGCAAAAATACACACACTCAGAGAGGGCACAGACAACGCTTGGGTTAGAAAGGAAGGCGGTGTTAACACATGGAAAAGGGCCCTTTGTACTAAGCGCTTGTCTGTGTCCTCTCTGAGTGTGTGTATTTTTGCGCTTGTTTCATCATGAACCTTTACCAACACGCCCAACTGACAGTCATTCTAAATGACATTTCATAAGCTATACTCGCACAATGCCGTGGCACGGCAGGACCAAAAGACAGCGGTAATCCCTCGTAAAGGAAGTAGAGTAATACAACTAACCTGCACAAAACAGATACAATGGCCTGTGAGGCCACATGCCTGCATCTGGTTCGCTGTGCCCACTGAATGTGTGCAGATTCAGTCGTCCTTTTATTGAGTGGTCAACCGATGTCACATGATGTGCAGGTGGCTCTGGGGTTGATGTAGGTGTGACCAAGGCTGGCTTGAAAAGAAAGGTTCCTTTATAAGCCTCTGGTGGTGTTCCTGTGTTCAGAAGGCGCACAGAAGGAACAGGCACATTTCGACAGCCCGTAGATCCAGTAAAAGAGAACCTTGTTCGATATGTGGCTCCGGTCAAACCAGAAACAAGCGCCTGCATAAAACAGAGAAATGGTTTGAGGCCTTTGTACAGCCATAATACACCCTGTGATCAGTCATTGGTCATCGCTAACACAATGTAAAATACATGGCGCTTTTTGGTTACCCATGGCCATTGTCCTACGAATCCCTAATAATCATAATATATGATTCATAATTTGTAGCGATACTCAATCAAAAGACATTAGTTGACTAATGGATTGTAGTACTATCTCATTAGTTTGATTTGCTTTAACAACTTGTCTTAATTTGGATTCTTGCTCTGTCTTGACTATTGTGATGTATTAGGTGATGGCAGCCAAACTCTCCTTAGCTGTGGTATATTTGTCTGTACATTGATCAAGTCAGGTGATCTTAGAAGTGCACGGGGCACTGCAACTATCCTATGAAAAGCACATTGTTAACCTTTATGCAGCTGCATCACTTGTGACATCGCTAGGATGTGTAAAGCAATGATGGATGACATGGCGAAATCCAGTTTGATATGTAAGCAAAGATGTGAACGGCTCTCCTTGAGTTGCCCAGAATACCTTGTGTATTCCATTCCACTGATTCCGCTGTCAAGTTCTGTTGAGTTATCGCTCATACATAGTACTTTCAGTGTGGGTGAAACAATCTGATGAACTGTTCGTGCATGAACTAGAACTTCCTGACTCGGAGCTGTCGCGAAACGTGCGATAGCGGCGGCACCACCAAGCGGCGAACGTGTCACAACGAGCGCATCTCACAGAGTTCCGGTCCACTCCGCTGATTTTGGCGGAGCAACTTTTTCTACTCCTCGGAGCCACTCCTGCTCTGAATCCACTCAGACACTTTCATTGGAACACTTGACTCCCATTTTCACCCTGTCATGGGACCACCCTCGCTCCAAAGGGAGTAGAAAAACTTGCTCCCACTCCACCATTGGAATTCAACATGAGCTTTAGTTGTCATGTTGCGCCTAGCAATACAATTGATCAAGAAGAAAAAGAAACTGGTTTGATATTAATTGGTTTTAAGGTAATGCATTAGCCACAGTTCAGCACTGAGACGCTGTCGCATGTTGTGGCATTTATCTGCCACCTCTGCTGATAATCTCATATATGCATTTTGAGCATTATTTCATGAAGGAGAATTTTCAGTATCGAGTATTCTGTTTACTTGCAAGAAAATAAATAGCTCAAGAGGTTATTTTTAACACTTGGGTGCATGACAACCTTATTTTTCCATTATTAAGTGAAATATGCTAGAGTGATCCTAAGATGATTTTGTCTACACCAGATTCGCAAAGAGTCTACTTATCGAAACGTTGGCTCTACGTAACTTCTGTTTACGGGTTTTCTCATTGCTTCTCCAGTGCGCTCCAAGTTGTGACATAGAAGTTTCGACATAGAAATTTATGCTCCTCTAAGTGCCTAAAAATGAAAATTTTGCTGGTTCAATGATTGCTCTAAGTCATGAGTTTTTGGTTTGGTTGCATCACTGTACTGTTCATTTCACTGTGTTGGCAGCAAACTTTTGGAACAGTGGAGTCATCGTGTGGGCATGGTGGAAGCCATTAAAGATGAAAATTGATTGTACTGATGGCCTCCTGCCAATATTTAGCCATCTGGATACATTGCAATGTACGATTAGCAACACTGTCAAAAGCTAGATATTATCAGATCATTCAATGGCGACATGTTTTCAGCCACTCGGAAGGCTGCGGTCTTGCAGGCAATTTGGAGCTGGTAATGGGACACACCTCTGCTTTGTAATGCAAATATGTGTGGTATGTATGTGTCGGGAAATGAAAAGGTCTGCTTGGATAGTACATTCTATTGCTTCTCACTGAGTGACAGTAGTGAAAGTAAACCATGGCTTTTGTTTGCTGCTTTTCTAATGATGTTCTATGTTAATTTAAAAGTCTTACTTGGGCAGTATAAAGTTGATTAATAAGGCTGTACTGCTTGTGTTTTTACTTTCAAATCTACTCAGTGACGCACCTGAAAGAAAAAGAATCGTGTCGCCAGTTGTTTTATATTGTGAGTGTTGTCATATACATATCAGTCCACACTATCTGGGCATTCCCTGAGCGATTACTCTGCAGCTCTATTTGTGTAGTCGAAATAAGTGTGCTCACCTTGCAGATAAAGCAGAACTTGCTGAACTAGCAAGGTTCGTTTTAATGAATGAAGTTTAAAGGCTAGCCTGAGTGGAAGCACCACTTTCTCTCTCTCTCTCTCTTGTGCATGTGTTCCTTGACAATGGTAGCCGCCTCAGGGAGGTCAACAGGTGAGCCGAAATGTTGTTTGGTAGCTTGGGATAAAGCATCAACAAGAAAGCAGCAAGCCTTTTAAAACACATAGAACACCTGTCTTTTTTCATCGATCGCCCATTCTAAACATGCCATCAGGGCAGACGGTGGTATATTTGTTGCGAATTAAGTACACAAGTGGCTAGAATGTCTTGCAAGACACTAGAGTTTGCATAGGCAAGGCCATGATGTAAGGTGGCTGTCTATTCATAAAAGAAACGTGAAGACACCTCTGAAGGCCAACTGCAACAGACTGGGTGGTATGCGCACCTCTTTCTTCAATCATGATGCAGTTGTGCTGCTGGCGATTGCACATGCGAGGATATGCTATCACAGTGTATTTTTCGTTGTCTCTAACCATTCATTCGGTTTTTATGTGTTACGAAATTTTAAGTGTATAAGTCGCGGTTATTTTCTGAATTTTTCGTCGGTGCGAATTATACAACGGTGCGACTTATATACAGTCAAAATTGGGTTTGATGCCGCGGCGGCCGCGGCTTTGGCCGCTTCAGCGCTTCGGCAGCCTGGATATCGCTGTGCGGGGCCTTTTGCCATGCACAGAAACCGCATTTTACAAGAAAATAAAAATAGTGGTAAATTAACTCTCTAGAAATAACACATCTGATGTAGCTTAGCACAGAAAATAAATAATCAAAGAGGGGTGAAAATGTGCAGGGATTTTAAAATTTTTAAATGATGAAAGGTGAGTTTGGATTTCCGAGCCGCTTTCTTTGCCATCACTTCCGTCCGCACTTGCGGCTGCTTCTTTGGTGCGCGTGTCGCGTGTGTTGTGCCAGTCGTAGCATGTGGCGTAGGCTAAGCGGCCTTGCTAATCTGACAACGGCACCATGGCTCCACATGGAAGGCAAAGTCTGCGAAGTTTCGATGCCAAGTTCAAGCAGCGCGCAGTTGAATTTGCTGAAGAACATGGAAACCGTGCTGCAGGGAGGGAATTCGATGTCGCCGAAAAAATGATCCAGGACTGGCACAAAGCCCACAGCATTCTTCGGACAGTGAAGTTTACAAAGAAGGCCAACCGCGGCAAGAAGGCATGCTGGCCGGACCTAGAGCGTAGCCTGCGAACGTGGGTGCTGCAACAGAGAGCTGAAGGAAGAGACCTATCAACAGTGCAGCTGCGCCTGAAGGCGAAGGCTCTGGCAGCAGAGACAAACGCTGTGGGGTTCAATGGTGGTCCGTCGTAGTGCTTATATGCGGCGGAATCAGCTTGTGATGAGAGCCCACACTACAGTGTGTCAGAAGCTTCCTGGCGACTTCCAGGCGCAGCTGGAACGCTTGAGCTCATTCGTGCGGGAGGAAGTAGCGAAGAACAACATCAGCGCGAGCTACATCGTTAACATGGATGAAGTGCCATTGACCTTCGACATCCCGCTTGGGAGAAGCGTCGCCGAAGAAGGCCAAAAGACTCACGGTGAGGACAACAGGCTACGAGAAGTCTCACTTCATCGTTGTGCTCGCCTGCTGCGCAGACGGCACCAAGCTGCCTCCCATGCTTATTTTTAAGAGAAAAACCTTGCCGAAAGGTATTTTTTCTTCTACAGTGGTGGTTCAGGCGAACACAAAGGGCTGGACGGACGAAGAAATGATGGGTGTGTGGCTTGACCGCTGTTTTTCACGTCGACCCGACGGATTCTTCCACGTGAAGCCAGGAATGCTGGTGATGGATAGTATGCGGGCACATATCACCGACGTCAAAAAAAAAAGATCGGTTCGAAGAATTGTATGCCTGTAATTACACCCGGCGGCATGACCAAGATGCTTCAGCCACTCGGAATTTCGGTTAATCGCAGCTTTAAGGCCATCCTGCGGCGTTTGTGGGAATCATGGATGTCGGAGAGTGAACACAGCTTCACTAAAACGGGGCACATGAGACGAGCTGAGTTATGGGAAGTGGCGAAATGGGTGAGCAAAGCATGGAATTCAATATCTGACAAGATCATTGCGGCGGGCTTTCGCAAGGCCAGTTTGATCCCCTGCGTGACCGATGTTGAGTCCAAATCGAGCGAGTCGGAGGACGACAATGCCGTGCCAGAGGACGACGTGCCTGGAGTACAAACAGAAATAGGTGCGCTATTTGTCAGCGACTCGGAAGAAGAAGACTCCGATGGATTTGATTAAACGCTGCTTGTCATCGCAATAAAGATACTTCAGACTGAAAATATTGTGTTTATGTATGTTGAGAAGAGCTCGCACGCGTGTGTGCAGACAGCTGGAAACTTGCAAGCACTACGGCCGCCTCTAGCATGAATTTTCGTAGTGCTTTTTCATGACGCGGCACTCGATGGCCAGGTGAGCAGGTGCGACTTATATGCGTTTTTCTTTTTTTCGGAACAACTGCTATTTTGAGGGGGGTGCGACTTATAGACCATACAATACGGTGTATATTTCATGCCATTTCTAGTGTTATCTGTGCAGCCATGTTATAGCATATCATTGAATGCTATGTAGCCATCATTGGCCTTTATACCATAAAATGCCCTAGGGCACTTGAATGTGTATAGCATGGTTTCAGAACAATGAATCTATCTTGACAAAAGCGATCATGACTGGTATTTATTATATTTTTCATCTGCTGCCTTTAAATGCAACTTTAGTAGATGGTTCATTTTACCCTAATAGATATATAAAAATCCTGGACCATAGCCTTGAAAGGTCTACCACTGGTGCTATTCATTCTCAGAGGCCAACTATGGTTCTCAGCATTCTCAGTTTTTTAACAGGTAACAGCTGTGAATGCTAAAGAGAGGCTAAAGTGAAACAGTGAATTGGTTTCGACTGATAAAATTCACTCGAAAAACTCTCATATTTATTCACTTCATCCTTAAAAGTGGCAAAACTCAGGTCAAAGATTAAGTTTCAAAGGGGCTCTGCAACACTTTTCTAAGCAGCTACAAATTGAATACACTAAAGGAGTGTATTGCCTCACAAATTTACTGCCGCAAAAATTTTTAGAGTCCATCCAGTACGAGCGGAGCTACTAAGATTTGTCACACTCTACAATTGCAATTGCTGGGTTTTCTTCCAACGTAAGCAGGGAGGGATGACACGAAGAAAAAAAATAGGTCATGTTTGCATCATGACCTTGAGCACTTTTTCTGTCCTTTTTTTTTTTTGAATGCACGACTTTTCAGAGTGATCTCGCGTGCTAGCGTGGGCAAGTCGCGGCTTGCCGAGGTTGTCCAAGCAAGCACCGAGCACACCATGCCCAAATCAGTCAGTGGCTAATGCTTGACCTGTGATGCAGTGATTCTTGAATGTGAACATTAGGCAGGAGTCTGTGTAGTTGGGTAGGTAAACTGAGAAAATAATTTTGTCTCCAGCCAAAGTGAAGCATGTAAAAACCCGACGCTTGTAACCGATTTGGTTCCTACCTCAGGGGGGGCTGTGGCGACGTTGAAGGGGCATCTTGAAGGCACTCGTGGGGCGGTTAGTGAAACCACGTTTTGTCCCGGAGCGTATTCTGTGTGCATACACTCGGGGGTGGTTCTGAGGGAACGATTGATGTTTTGGGCTGTTCGCTTATCCTCGGGTCAAACGTCTCGCAATGCTCGGCATTGGCGCTGCGTTCTTTGTTCAGCTTCCGGATATCGTTGACGTGTTGTTTGAGTCATTTCGGTAGGCTTTTCTGGTAGTGAGTTTGCGGGATTGTAGTCTTTGCGATGAGCCGATTAGCTCTGGCAACGACACGATGGCGTGTTGAGTGCAATGCAATGCAATGAACATGATAACAACAAATTGTAGTGTTATACGAAGTAAAGCTGGCAGCCTACTCTTTTGTACCCAGTTTGCGGAACGCTGGTGTAAGCAAACATGGTTGCTCCAGGGAGGAGGGCTCTTCGTGTTAAAGGCGGACTAGTGCTTGCCGAGATAGCACGGACGCCAGCAATCGCAACCGTGCCCTCTAAGTTCACCGTTTCAACTCAAGCCACCCTCTCCTGCCGTGTCATTTCATGCTCGTTCAAGACTGGTGGTTTTCTTTCTGTTTCTAACAAGTGGAGGGTATCTATTGTATGCGCCCTCCAGGTGATAGACATGGGCTGGCTCATTTGATCTCTGATTCGCACGCTTTAACCCTGCTCTCAATAGTTACGATGTGCGGAGGCATGTTCAATTTGGACTTGTTATGGAACATGGCGGCGGCAACAAAAAGCTGCCAGGTGTGTCCACATAAATGCTATCACAACAATAATGCAGTTTTTACTGCTGAATGAGTGTTTTGGGTTAGCTCTGCATTCAATTCCCATTCTGTTTAATTTGTGCATTTATTTTTTTGAATTTTCATACTGAATCTACATGTAATGAAATCCTCCTTATTACAAATTTTTCTGGGCATGCATCGATTTAGTTACATCAAGGTTTAGCGGCACATCTATTGCTCTGCATGGTGCCGAATCCTTTTTTCGTATAGTGACTTTTTGCCAACACTTTTTTTGGGGAAGCTTATCTAGTGTTCTCTGACAAGCATGCGAGTCAATGCGCAAGCACATGGTTGCTACAGTTATATATGTCGCGGATCTTCTGAGAATAGAGTTAGATGTGAGTGACGCCCTTTCTCCTCTTTCTATAATTTTTGTTCCTTGATGGTAGGCATCCTTATGTATTTCAGTAAGTTGTATGACAGTATGGCCACAGTGGGCCCATGTAGATGAAGCCGGATCAAGTTAGACCTGAATTAAACAAATTTCGAACAAGTGAATTGAGATTGCATAGTCAGTTGTATGCCCAAGTATAACCTCATTAAGCTAATTTCTATAGTGGGAATGCCTTTCAACACTTTGGTTCATCAGCCATTGGCGCAGGCAAAATCTGCTTTTGGAGCAGTTACCTCTGTGTTGGGAGCATGCATGTGATTTAAATGATACACACAGAGGAGAAAAAATTAGCTTTAATTTAGTTTAATGTTCCCTCAGTTTACATAATCATTTATATAGAAGAAGCAAGCCCACAAAAGAAGCATAGC